ATATATTAGGTGGATATAATGCATAGCCAACCACTGTATTTCTAAAGAAAATGAAAAACTCAACCAGGACAGACTACTTTCAAAGCTTTCTTGATCATTATAAAGATATTTTAGCATAATTTGGTATTAACTCAAAATCGTGTTTACCATCCACTAGCAGGCAAACCCAATAATCAAACAGCAACTGTTTTTCCCCTGTTATCTTTTCCATTCCCATGGAATCACGCTGGTGCTGTTGGTGATGAAGGAAAGGAGGTGGGCAAACAAACACATCGACATGAGCTGGAGGCAGAAACAAAAGGGAACCGATTATTGGGTGTAAAGAAGGAGTTCAGAGGATAGTGTTTGATCCAGCAGGACTAGGGGTCTTCAGCCAGGCTAGCTGCTCTGTGAGGCTGTGCTTAGGTAGAGCGGTGTTTTGAGCTAAATGTTCTCTCAATGCTAATGCTAAGAAGCTGATGTTTAGCGTGTTCTCCATCTTTACACATTTCAATTAGCACTAAACACATGTATTAGTACAGCTGAGGCTGATGGAAATTCATTCGTTTTGCGGTTCGTCTTTTGTGAATAAAAGATTGGAGATCTTAAACTTTTGACCTGCTGGTGTCAGTTGATGAAAAGTCATGCAATCACCAAAAACTTGCTGTTGACCTTGTTTACCTGTACCTAATTACATGGTAATAATCCAGCAGTTGTCAAGCCATTTTACTCAAACACAAAACTACCAAGCTTGTGGTGCTAGAGGACAAATGAGGTGATCAACAAGTCAGTAGTAGTAGTAGCAGTAGTAGTGATCTTACTTTGCATGGCAGCTTGATCACACAAAAATCCATCTTGTGAGGCTTCAAGTAATGTGTTTGTGTCAGAACCACCTGTATCTCGACCAATCAGCGTGCTGTGAGGAGCTACTGGCAGCTACAGGCGTGGTTATGTTTGTGCGAGAGGACACGGAGAGGCAAATATATGTTCTAAACGTCAATGACAACTTCTAAAGACGTTAGTGTTGACGCTGCAACAACAGGGTTTATTATATGCCCCCTTTACGGGAAACAAGGTTTTGGTCCTAAACCTCGCAAAGACCAAAAGTAATGGTAAGTTTAAGTGGTTGTTCAAAATAGTCAAAATGTATTAATTTCATGTCCAGGAAGTTGCTCTCATCCGACCACCAAAGTGGTATACTTGTTTTACTTCAATAAAATAACTATATATAGTTTTATACCTGGCTTCCATGAATGATCACTGTAATTCACCATCGGACAGATGACTGGCACAATGGACTGTAAGGTACTAAGCGCTGCAAATGATACATTGTTTGCTTTCTCCAATCTTGGAAAAGGGCAGGCCCAGTCAGCTCATTATGACTGCCCCAACCATCCATTCCAATATTTACCTTTTCTGAATGCGTTACGAAGACTTTTGTATCTTCACTTTCAGACACTGAAAGATCCCAACCTGTCGGCAAGAAAGGACTTCCAGAGGGAGGCTGAGCTGCTGACCAATCTGCAGCATGACCACATCGTTAAGTTCTACGGAGTGTGCGTAGACGGAGACCCTCTCATCATGGTGTTCGAATACATGAAGCATGGAGACCTCAACAAATTCCTCAGGTCAGTTTGTCACTGAAGGTAAACCTCAATGTACCACGCTAGTGTTGGCTCAGCAAATTATAAAATTCATCATATGAACAGACAGTAGGAAAATAAAGTGGGTGAAAGCTTAAAAGCAGTACAAATGTGTGTTTTTGTGTGTGTGTCACCTGTTCTTGGATCCTTTCCACTCAGGGTACTGGCTTGACTTTTAAATGAAAGTGTCCACCAAGTTATTGACAGCCAGTAATTTTAAAGCTTCAATAAGAGTCCAAGAAAACTGAAATTACTTCGTCAACCTCTGCTACCGATACAACTTCACAGCCTTCTGGGTTATCAAACATGAGTTCTTTAGTGCTTTTGTTCCGTAATGTCAGACTGTACTGAGGGAGGTGACCTCTGATAAGCTTCAACAAAAGAGACACGATGCCTGTACACCGAGCGCTTTGGTAATGGGAAGCTTTACTGGAGTTGATGTCAGTGTGCGCATGAGTCTGGCATAGAAGTGTGTTGTTTCAAGTGTGTTGACAGCAGCCGTGTGTGTGTGTGTGTGTGGTCTATCTTGTTTTAAAAGTTTGAGCAATAGTTGAAAAGATGACATGTTACGATTGGGTGTGAGTGTGTGCGCAGATTCAAGAGCGCGTGAAGACTTTCTGTTGGGAAATCAGTCCTGAAATGAAAGGCAATGTCGCGAATGATGAAATTCTTTCATGCAAGGTGCAAGACGTGACTGATTTTTGGTCTATTGGCCCTGTTGGTCACATTTAACAAATGAGATGTGTGGGGAATCAGTAGGAATGAACAGCGTATCTGATGTGCAGGTCCAGCTCGACCTTTCAGATGAAAGGAGGGTGACCTGCCCTCATTCAGCCACTACTAGATTTATCTGAAGTGAAATAGAGGTAGAGAGACAAAGAGACACACACTAAGGAAGAGTAATACTAATCCATCTACAGTGGAGCTGAGTTATTACACACACACTTAAAGCCAAGAACGGTGAATTTTACCAAAATTGAGAGATGGAAAAAGAAAGACGAGAGTGGCAGAGCTTCCCTGCATGGCACATAGTCTGTAGTCACGGTGACAAGAAGGGGAGGACAACAGCAGGGACTTCTCACAGGAAATTAGTTCATCATCACCTACAAATGCCAAGTAGGGAAAGAGCTCTCCACCCATATGGCACTTGTTCTGGTAAATGTACGACTTAGAGCACCTCGATGAAATTCATGAGCCTTGAGGAAAATTTCTGACATGCTAGACTTCAGTATATGAAAATGTGGCAGAAACTGTTCCACCAATAACTCAGTTTTGCTTTACAATTGAACCTGCTTGAGTGCTTACAGGTTATAGTCGTTGTGTTAATGATTTAGCAACCCATCTTTGTTATGCTAATTATTCTCGATAGGTACAAAAAAAGGCACCAATACTGCCAGTATAAGGGTTTGTTAGCACTCTAAGGAGCTTTGCTGAAAAGACTTTAAATGGTCCCGCATCCAGTCGTTAAAGTGAGATTATATAACTTTCAAAAGAAGAAATAGCACAAATTTCCTCTCACGAGTTAAACGGTTAACTCCCAAGCAATATAATAAATAAATACTTCAATACAGTCTGGTAGAGTCTTATTTGGTCTGGTATGACCAGAAGCTTATGTGGGTAATGTCAGCCAACTTGAGTCCTGACTATCATGAGTCAGGTCAGTACTTTTGGCCACACTGGGCGCTAATCTCACTTTTAAAAAAGAATCAAACTCCATCATCAATATTAGATCATCAAATCAATCATTAATACTTTTTTTTTCTTTTTTTTGTTGTAACTCAGAGCCCACGGCCCAGATGCCATGATCCTGGTAGACGGACAGCCACTGCAGTCCAACGGAGAGCTGGGCCTTTCCCAGATGCTGCACATCGCCACCCAGATTGCCTCGGGAATGCTCTACCTGGGCTCCCAGCACTTTGTCCACAGAGATCTGGCAACCCGTAATTGCCTTGTGGGCAATGGCCTGCTGGTCAAGATTGGAGACTTCGGCATGTCCAGGGACATCTACAGCAGTGACTACTACAGGGTAAGACCTCACCACCATCCTTATTATGTGCTTGTCATTTGCCAACAAAGCACAGGGGGCCAGAGAGGTGTTCAGAGAGTTCAGACTGCCAAATCAATTAAGATGGAAGAAATGTACATTTTTGCCTCACTTCAAATGTGTTTTCGATAGTCGTCTTGCTTTAACATTATGGTCAATAGAGAAAAATAACAATAACAAATCCACTTTTTGGTCTCTTCCTGTACATTTTAACATAAGACCAATATAGCATGAGCATTAGTAAACTCCACCTGACACATAAATATTACATTTTAGTTCAGAACACTTTTTACATTTATATTTGGGTCCAAAAGAACCCTAATAATTCCTGTGGGACCGCTAACTAAAAAGATATTTCTAAAGGGTGAAGACTTCCGCGCTCTCTTGGGATTTTTTTGTTTTGTTTTGTTGATGTTTTTGTTTCCGTCTTTTCTTTTGTACGGAGAGTGAACAGCTCTCCCTCCCCATTGCAGCCCACGGCCCCCATATCAGCCCTCATGCAAGGATGGAGCGGTTTAGCAGTGTGGTATAGGAGACGAGCCTGCTGAGCCTCCAGCCTCATGCTTAGAGGCTTGTTTATATAGCTCACGATTAATGTCCTCTCTACTGTTTAACGAGATTAGCAACTCTGAAAGTCGCAAACCAGACGACAAATGCCGGGCTGAGGAAGTTAGCATTTCTCTGAATAAATAACTGGTTATTATGGAGGAATGGCTGCTACATGTCTGGATCCCTTAAACAGTCTGGTCTTGTGAAATGACTTTAGGTGCGTCTGATTTTGTTTTCCCAGCGTGGCAGCTGGGCCAGTTCGGACCTTGCTGGGGGCAACGCCAGCAGTTATGAAGTACTTGCCTGCTGGGTGAGCAGCTCTGCACACATAAAATAATTTGTGAGGAAATTTGTGCGAGATGTCTTTAGTGTTTGGTATATTGCTCCACCATGCACACCATCTGTGTGGTGTGTATATGATCAAAATCTGAATATTTAGTTTTGAGTTGTTCAAGAATTATGCCAATATTGTGTGTGTGTGTGTGTGTGTGTGTGTGTGTGTGTTGTTCAGTGTAGGCTGGGGATATGGTTGAGTGTGTGTCAGTATATCCAATCTAACTGTTTTGGCCCTGAGAATAGACAAGTGTCAGGTTGTCAATGAGGACAGGAACAGAAAGTCAGTACTCTGACTTTCTAAGAAAAAAAAGTGTCATGAATAATTCTGTTTAAAGATCTCTGATCTCAACAAAGCAGCAGTGTTGGGAGGCTGTTGAGACCAAACAACATAGAACGTTACTAACACTACAATCTACATTTTATGTATAAATTCCAACGTACTGTTAATTTAAGACCAATTTCACAAATGAATTCTGTGCTCATGTGAAGCTATTTAAATTACAGAATATCCAAAACTACCCTTGTGTCTCTGTGATATAGCATAATGGCATATTCATTTTCCAGCCACACTTCTGAAATGTAACATCAAAATCAGAAACGGTTTATTGCCAGTAATACGTTTGCACATACATATTCAGAGTGAGTTCACTGTTGGTTTAGCATCAAGGGTCTATAAACTCTACTCATAATCTTGAATACTCATTATAAGCTTTTTGTTGAGGAGCATAATTGGATGTTTAGACATTGGCGGCTTTGTGTTGGCCAGTTTTAATGGAAACCACGGCAGATATTATGCTGTTCGTCTTGCATGTAGGGTGTTGCAGCATCTAGTCTCTCTGTCAAAGTAAATGGAGCACGCATGTATGGATTCTGTGTGTGTTATTCCCATTCTGCGTGTTTCATCTGCATAGCTATCGTTCCATGGCTGCCTATGAATTCACTTTTGCGCTCATGTGGTCTTTATTTCTGAACTGAATTACTTTAGGGTTGATCATAGACGGCCAAGGAGTGTTTAAGTTAATCCATAACATCCTGGTATCATTTACATTAGCAGAGATGAAATGTTGTCTTCTTTTCGGCTGATGTTGTGTTAATGTTCCCAGCTCCTCTACATTATCAAAAGCAGCTTGCATAAGAGCCTTGAACTTCTTTTCGAAGTCTGTGGAACACGGTGACTACTATTCATATCTAAGGAGTTGATAAACATAACCCTCTCCGAGACGTACGTTTAGATTAGATTTAGCTTTAGAGTTCCTTGGGGTATTTTGGCATTTCTCTCCCTCCTTACATATGCATCTAATTACATAGAAAAAAATACTTTTCCATTATATATTGATTGCTATGGCAATATGCAGTATTTAAAAAAATTAAATTGGGGGAAAAAGTGAGAGTCCAGTTAACAGATATATTTTATTTTATTTATTTATCTTTGCTAAGCCCACCCAAAGATGTCAACTAGCATTGCACTTTAGTGCAGTTGAAAAACAAGTCGGTTCTAATTCCTTCCCCTCTGCAGATGACTGCAGGTGTACTGGGCAGCTCCCACTATCTCTGTGGAACAATGAGAGCTCAGGTGGGCCCCTCTGGACAAATAAAGGGCACGACTGTGTGTTTCCTTGTTTTATCCCAAACAATAGTTCATTTAATTGTCTTAAGACAAAGTCATGGCTGATTTAGCTGGCAGATACCTACTGCTCCGTTTAACGATTAAATGGTTCAGCAGATTGTTGTTGTCTGAACAATTATACGCTTAATATAGTGTGTAGGTGGGGTGAGTTCAAAAAACGGAAAAAGAGTAGCTGCAGGTTACAACAGAATTTACAGGGAAACAAGAAACTGTGTGAGCTGGGGTTTCTAATATATTCGTGTGTGTCTATTATATCTTAGAACAAGTGTCTGTTAGCGAAAGATAAAGTATATTAATAAGAGAGTGTCAGGTAGGTGTACGCACCTACTACTGAAGGGACCCGGCTTCAATCCCGGACTGCAGTGCGCTACACAGTCGTATTCATAAGTGGGAAGCCAGTGAGGGATCATGTCCTTGACATTACACCAGAGACTCATGCTGGTTGCTCAGGGTGTCTGTGAAGAGGGGAGGTGGACCTCCAAGCACATTAAACTCAGCAGCTGGTGACTCCATGTGTATTTACAATCCGCCCTCGCGGTAACAATGGGGTTAGCAGTAAAAAGGACCGCAGTGTGATAAAAGGGGAATATGCAGCAAGATACAAAGAAAAATGTTTTTCCAGTCAAACGTTGCTTCCCTCCATCAAACTCAGTGGTGAATTTATTGAGGAAAGTTGATATGGTTGAATCATTTATTGAATAATATACTGATTCAGCACACAGACACACACACACACACTGCTGTGAGGAATACTTCTTGCAAATCTGTATGTTGGATTTGGCAGTAACCACAAAAAAAGTTTGCAAAAAAAAAAGACCAGTGTCAGTTTGAATTTAGGGTGGTGTGTATAAATGTATGTGTGTGTGTGTGTGTGTGTGTGTGTGTGTGTGTGTCTTTGTGTGTGTGTGGCATGCCTTTTGTGAAGCTGCTGTTTGGTGCGTTGTGATAGCATCACTGCCCGCCTACACAGAGGAATATTGACAGAGCCCAGAGATAAGGAGCTCCGAACACTATTGGACACTTTCCCTGTGTTGAGTGATTATAAATAGCAGCGCCCTGCCAAGAACACAATCCTTCCATCGCTGACTAGTCGCATTGACGCTTGTTGCCCTCTGGGACTCCCGGGACGCTATGCAGCGGGAGGGAACAACCTCAAGAAAGAGATGAATATTGTCCTAAATCACATCCATCTGTCATATCCTCCTGCCCTGAATGCGCTTCTGTGTTGTTTCAAAAGAGACAACGGCAGAACCTGCACAGCCCGCCGGCAGCGGTGGCGCCTTCCGTATGGGTGGGCTATACCACTGACTCACGATATATCAGGTATTGTTTTCCTGAGTTCAGGGCGTGAGGCACTGAATTAGGCATTTTTAGAAAGGTAAATGACAGTGAATGCTCAAAAGATCCCTATGAATTAAAGTAGGAAACGTAAAATAGTGTTATTTTTTTTCAACAAATGTTTCAGGAACAGCATTTAGGGGACAAATGGAGCGGAGCTCACGTAGGGGCTCTGTCAATCTGCAGGCCTTCACAAATATCATTATTTGATACATTATTTTCACACAAGGTCGTGGCAGCTTTTTTGTATTTCATGTCTTCTTTAATACAGAGCAGAGTTACTAGTATGCACTGCAGTAAATGTGATGGCCCTTGACAGCTAATTTCCATCTGTCATTTCTTCCTATAATACCCAGTATCATTTGTACAATATTCATTGGTTATGTTGAATCCAAAGTCCAAAAAAGCAGCTCTCTGATTTAATAAACTAATTGCATTTTCGTAATTTGTGTTGAATTCAATTCCTTGCGGCATAAAAAAGAAGATCTACAAAAGTTTTTTTCAGTTTGGTTTTCTGGAAGCTGCTTGTAAACTGTCATGTTAGACCCTGGTTCTTCCAGATAAGGAGAGAAATGGCTTCAAAACAACTCATTACAGACAAATTATAAACAGTGACATATAGTTTCCTGTCAGAGGATAAGATGTAGAGGCTTCCAGTGTCTACTTATTTTCTTGAGAATATTAAAAATGATCCCAGACTTCTCTCCAGAGGCTTGCTTGCAGCCTGAGAGTTTTCATTTACCAATGGCAGGGTTTTGTTCTTCAATTCAATGAGTGTAGCATTCTCTGAATGTAAAGGAGGATGCTGTTGAGGAACAGAAAGCATGTGTCCAGACAATTTAGGTAAAGGATGATAACAACAATTACAATCATAACACTTGGCTAAGATTACAAAAATAGTTTTGAAGCCACAATCTGCATTTTAGAAGCAGACTAATCAAACACTGTAACAATGTTATAATCTAATGACTCAGTTTCAAGGACTTGGTGTTCTTTGTGACTTTGCCAGGAAGCCTCCGCTTACCTGCACTGCTTTGCTTTGAAGGAAAATGGTCCCCGGGTTTCTTCTGTTCCAAGGATCAAACAGACACTCCTCTGCTGCATTATTTATCAAGCACAAGCTCCTCAAAACTGTATGCGGCTTGGTGCTAATGAGTACACAGGCCATATTTATTACTGCTGCATGAAGGGATGAAAAAACTCTGTTCTTCCCAAATGGGCCTTGTTTTTTCTTTGCCAAGCACTCCTGTCTTACGTGATCACAAGCTCATTGAGAAGTACATTTTTAGAAATGAAGGAGGTGCTGCGGTTGACCTCAGAGGAAGTCTAGTTTAAATACTGTATTTCTTGTATTGCTGCGTTCTTTAGAGCTAGTTCAACATTTAAGGAAATGTGCTTAGTAGCTTTCTTGACAAGACTGACGCCCCTCTCATGTCTCTCGAGTAAATATGAAGCTCCTGCCAGCAGCTAGTTAACTTAGCTTAGCATAAAGACTGGGTAAACTCAGGGGTAAACAGCTAGCCTTGCTCTGTTTAAAGGAAACAAAATCTGCTTACCAGCACATCTAAAGCTCCCAAATTAACACGTTACATGTTGTTTGTTCAATCCATACAATTACAAGAGTGTGACATTTTTAACAATTTGTGCATGTTAGCGCTCTGACGTTAGCATTTAGGCTGTGCCTAATTAGGCTACAGCCTCATGTAGCTGGTAGCGTGGCTGTAGACTCTTTGGGCTCTTTTTCAACAATCAATAGCGCAGCCTCTAAAGTGCATGGCGCAAGTGGATTTGGAACTTGTCCGACTCCAGTTTCGCTAGTTTTACGGCGCATAATCTGAGCGCTAAGTAACGCTCACATTCCTTTAAATAGCCAGGTGCTCCTCCAACTGCTGCATTGCTTTTTAAATGGCAGATTTGGCAAATTGGAGAAGCGAGTTTTCTGCTGAGGAAACCGATCTACTCGTGAAAACACGCTACCTACACAACATGGGCGCTGGGTGTGAACATGA